CGGATTGCCACCCAATCGCCCACTATAAGCATTTCTCGCTCCACAACACGGCGTGGGATGATATACAGCTGACACTCACCACTGCTTCCAATCCACTTCCTGATAATAATTTAAAAATTTAATGTTATATACGTAAAACTACAAGAGTCGTTCTTTAAATAAAAGTTTTGTCAGGAAATACTTATCACTGTTTATAAGACAGTAACCTACTTAGCAATAATACCTAAATTGTCTCATCGGTCGAGTGCTACTATCGAGCAAGGAGTTTGAGGTGGGATTCGCTGGGTCGGGAAAAAAGTTAGAAGGGTCTTTTTTCCATTTTCCATTACCTTATAGATAGCACAGCTTGGAGTCTAGTAGACTCACCGTCTTATCATTGTACAAAAACTAAAAATCGCGAGTCGTCTTTTATCTTTTAACCAACCTATAAAAGGAATATTCTTTTGAAATGCTTTTACTCTGATAGACCTATAAGATAATGTGGTTCCGCTTAATCGGATTAATAAATGTCTCCTGACAAAATTTCCCATTATGTCGCTTTCCTCTGTTTATCGGAGAATAAAGTGACTTCACAAAAAATGTTAAAAAACCAAAGGAAAAATGGATAATCTCGACCTGCGCACTGTAGGTCTGTATACTTATGTCAGCTTCACAACTTGATCCCTTTGAAGTCGGTTCTACTTAACAAATTCTTAAGAAAATTTCAGGAAATACTCGCTGTGGGTTCTGAATTTCATATAAGAGGTTCTCGACAAAATGTCTTTTTAAAAATAATTCTATGAAATACTGATCATCGTATGGTGACTAATGAGGGATTTTAATCACATCGTACCATTTCTCAACGATGAGTGTGCTTCGCAAAAATAAACCAGTTCGCATTCCCTGAATATAACTTACCTCGGATTTTGAACTTCAGCGCATCCTTACCCTGACATGGACATGTACTTAATGTATTGAAAGACTTATGTAGGTAATATTAAGAGATGATACATTATGTATTAAGATATATGTACAAGACGACGAAAATATGGACCTAATATTTACTGGTACCAAAGATAACTGTTTGCCAAGTTTGGGGCCAGTGTTAAACGTGTATGTCACTTTACAGCATTTTTTTATATTGTAAGTATATTCCACTTTTAGTAATCAAGAATATTTGCTACATTTTTACTTAACTTGTGATGCCCACCCTCGGTTGTTAGATATTGAGTTTGATGAGTCAAGAGAGAGATCTTCAGCATGAATGGGTCGACTCGACCGGTGAGTGATACCACGGCCTCACAGAAAACTGGCGTGAAATGACTTCTGCGTTGATTCACTATAATGAGGCTACCGGGAGCCTAATCCTTCCCCACTCTCCATCCTTCCCCTATCCTCAATCCTCCAAAACTCCTTATCCTAAGAAGGCCAGCAACGAACTTGCAATTCCTTGCAATTCCTCGGGTACGGCGGCCCGGTCTTTTAGTTTGCCTCAGTATCACATAAAGAAGACGATTTGAAATTGACAGTAAGTTCCTAATTGTATCCTGTGTTTGTCGACAGCTAGTATACGTGTGATCTGATAATATTATAACTTCGAATCGATTATATCCAAATTTGAAGAATTATTTACATTAGGTCTATGTAAATAGTCATTTTCTGATTTATTTTGTTGCGGGATCGAAGACTGTGTTGATTGAGTTCTTCATTTTCTTTGGACGCGCCTGACTTCAGTGTTTTCATGGTTGTATTTTCATACAACCACGTACAGGTTTGCTGGAGTTGCAGCGGTTTTTAGACGCTGTGGTGGACTTGTCCCATTTCAGTATGTATTGGTTCAGTTTTTATAATCAATTTCGCCTATAATCTATTTACCTAACTAGTTAAAAATGAGTGTACCTAGATAATAAATTATAAGTACACTCAAGTCTTTAGGTATGACTTGGAGTTGTGTTATCGAAATAAACACAATGCTTTTTAAGGTCCATTGTTATATTTAGACGACCTACTCTTGTTGTATTTCTAAAGAAAAATGCTGACGCCCTATTACCTGAACGAGCTTTGTGCCTATTTACTTCAGAAATCCTAATTTAGACGCCAAAGGAACATAAAAGAAAGTGAAAGATTCGAGCAAGTCGCCTACATAATAAAAGTTGGCTAATAAATACTTTTATGTTATACTTTTTTACTTATAATAACTTGAGGAAATACTTTTGCTGAGATTTAGCTTCAAAAATAACCAATTTACTGTCAACTTACTCAATCGAACTCGGATTAAATAGCAATCAGTACTTAACCTATATACTATTATAATCACCATGCTTTGATTGTTACCTGTTGTAATTACCTTAATAAATAAATAAATAAATAAATAAATAAATCCTGTATCCAGGTAGGACAAGCAGGTTCCGATCAATCTAATTTAGTAATAGAGTTATCATATACAAAACAACCTTTTAACTATGTATCCACTACATATCTATACTAATATTATAAAGGGGTAAAATTTGTAAGTTTGTAAATTTGTAAGTTTGTATTTAGGTGGTATTCTTTGGAACCACTGGTGGGATTCCTTATTGATATTCTTTCTCTTAGCCGATAGCACTCGGGAACATTGTAGCTATCAGCTACAGCTATATAACATCACGCTACGATCAAATGGTACTAAGCAGCGGGTGAAACCGCGCGAGAGTAGTTAGTGTATTATAAAGCAAAGTTGCTTTTTTGCCATTCCTAATTCTTTAAAATGCGGTTTTATTAGAGTGATTGAAGAGAAAGGTTATATAACATCTATTAAAGAGTGGAGAAATTAAGTATCAGCATTGCACCTAGCCTACATTCGAAAATACATCGAAGATATAATTTTTATAATATTTTGAATTCAAGCTCGTCTATCAAATATTGTAATAAAATTGCTCCATTGTTAGGACTCATGTAGACACATTAAATCAATTACTAATATTAGGTAGGCAGGCATATAACATTGCCCTCTGTAAATCTTTGCATTACAAGAGTGAGCTTTGTTTTAAAGCAGATGCAAGTAAACACAGTCGACCCGACATCTGGCGCATTTTTTTTTATTTCCACTGTGCGGTGCCCATTCTGCTGTCAATCGATATAGTTCAGCTGTAGGAAACGTTTTAGGAGAATAACTTCAAAGACTCACAATCGCTGTTCCAAATATTTCTATTGTTATCAACTGACCTTATTCTTTTAGTTACACAGACCAATGATCTCCACGTAATAATTGTGATAAGTTATAATAACAACGTAGAAAGGAAATGTACCAGTGCCGTACTATGGTCGTAATAAGTTTGGCGTTGTACACAACCTGTGTATACAATATCGGATCGTCTGCTTTCCGGCATAATCCTAATTCATGTTCACTCTCCTGTTTAATAAGATCTATGTATTTTACTAACTAGGTAAATTGGATTAGGTACACGTTTTCATCTGGCTAGTTTCATTTTGCGTGTAGTCCTCCGCATATTGTAATTTATTCTGAAATATTCAAATTCGCCAAGAAATAATTAAGTTCCTCGTAGAGGTAGAGAATTAAATTCGTAACGGAATTTCAAAATGAAATATGGCTCACAGAAGATTTATTTTGGAAACTGTTTGGTAATTCATTTCAATAACATTCGTTTAAAGTTAAATTGAATTTACAAAAAATAAATAGGTTTTCCAAGTAGGCAGGTACTAAGTATGTCTATACAAAATAGAAATTGCTTATAAAATAGCTTGTATTGGATATTTTTTAAGCGAAATTACATTCTGGAAGCTACTACGCGCCCTACGACTTACAGCTACGAGTCGCTCCGTCGCTCAAAAATATCGCATGCGACTTCAAACTCAAACTGAATATTAGTAATAGCGTCCAACGTCACAGTTCTCATTTTTCGAACGGACCGACACAGACGAACCGAGATTGAAATTGTAATATGTATAGGAGTACACATATATAGCGTCATGCACAACTGCTTTTTGTCGTTCATTTCAGATTTAGTGGCTCGCGTAGTCGCGTTTTATTCTACTGTTTTTGACAGATGGGTGGTTTGTAATCACTAGGTATGTTTATACATATATACCTGTAGATGATATGCAAGTCTGTACGATGTCATGTAGTTATAAGAATATACATCTAAATCCCTTAAATCGTTAAGCCAAAAGTCTCATTCATAAAAAGGCCAACTAAAACAAGCTCCGGAACTTCACGCCAGCCGCCCCTAAAACTTGTTTACCTGTAACACATTCATAGCTACATCCTCCCTTACTTCCTAAAGGGTCTGTTTCTATAATTAGAAGGGTTATAATTACTTTATTCAGTGTTCCCCGAGGGGTCTGTGAATGGGCGCTGTGTTTACAAACACCACGCCTGACTCCTGAACGACGGCGCGCGGCGACGAGACGCAAGCGCACGCATAAACACTTAAAATTAAAACTGGCCACACAACTCTCCTTTTCATGAACACTGTATAGGCGCCAAGCCTCACTTATTAAGTCGGATAGTCTTTGCTGAATTGGCTAACTCTCTTCCCTAGAGTGGAGATACAGTTTAGTAGATGAGTTCGCGGTTTATGCTTTTTCTGAATTCGGTAACTCCGCTCCTATTCGATACATAACAATCACGTACAGAGATTCTATTCAAGTTACGCTCAATTGGTTTAAATTAAAGTGAGAATATATATTTTGCGAAAACAAATGAACATAAAACAAATTCATTACTTTTGTTATTATGTCTGTTACGTTGGTTTGTTGTCTTACGAGTTCACATGGAGGGGCGTCGCGTCGGTAGTACAGGAAATCCCAGGAAATTAACCTCTATCCGTACGGTTCAATATTCATGGATACACGGTTACAGCGCATCAGGGCTGTGTATACACCGTGCGTTTCCTGTGCGCGCGTGCTAAGAAAGCTTTGCTTCCTTGTGAAAGCCCGCACGTGTGCGCCTAAAACCCGCGCTGGTTCCACCTGCGCGCGCGCCGTATCCCCGAGATACGCGGTCGGGCCGCAGAACACGCCGCGCGCCCGTACAGATGTGTCGTGTTTAGTGAACATACCGTGATCTCCGACCATGGGGCCCCAGTTTGAGTATTGCCTACGTGCCACCAGTGAGTTACCAATACTTTATTCCTACTTTGTTTGTTGTGTAAACCTCATTATGGAAGCCCTGGATTGAACCGCCTGCGCTGTGTATTAAACTTTTGCAATTTTCCACCGGCATAAGTTCAACAAGTTATTTAATTTTCCGTCACTGAAGTCGATGTAAAAAAACTTTGAGATTATTTGTGATAACTTTGACTCAAAAGTTTTTATTAACAAGTTTCTGATTTTGGGTCGCATGTATTTAAATATGTATTTACAAACAAACTGGCGTTGTGCAGGGACGCGATCGGCGCTGATAATGTTCGTAAGGACATCAAATACATTGTTTCCTAATTAGGTCTGAGTGTATACATAATTAGTGTCGATAACTGTTGCTGGCCAGTAGGTAGTACTTAGCATTCTACAACGTCTCCGCGGTAATAATTAACGGTAAAAATTAGGTTTCAGTTTCAGAAACATACTACTGAAAAACTTCGACGGTGGGAATAAAATTAGTCATTCGTTGAAAATTCTTGAAACACATTTTGGGGCTTTTTAGATTTTAACCGTTCCGAGAAATACGATTGATTCATTGATCAAGAGGCGCCTACATTTGTTTAGACTGGGACTGATGATTGTACCTACTAATTACAAGAAAATCAGGATGTTTTTTACATAGGTACTAACTTTTAAACTTTCGCGTTTCATGTTAACAACATATCATTAAACGGGTATAATACACTGAATTTTTACATATACTTAAGCAGAATTGCATTAGGTAATTATTTCATCATATTGATATTTTAATTAATTTCCGCGCCATTGTTTAAGTACAATATCAAACGCGGGAAAATATACAGCTCAAGCCCATATATTCTGCACTATAAAAATACTTGCCATTTTCTAGAACTCCATTTCAAACTGCACATTTTTTATGTAAAACTACCCTAAAAAGTTTACTACTCTCCACTTAAGACCAACATTTGTTGGGCACTGTAATACAATGCAATTAATTACTGTCAAATACGTCATTACTGTCCGATAATATAACAATAACAGTGAACAGTATTGAACATTTTATTTAGGAGTGGGTCCACTATTGTTCATCACTTGTTTTTATTTAGACACATGTGCTTCGGCCATTTCTATTGCCGCCCTACGGCTCTGATTCCATCCAAAATCCCACAGATGCGGGCCCAACAAAAAACACGTATCTAGTCAAGATCCTCTTTCACATCCCACAGTCACAATTTGGAAACGGTTTATAAATCTTCACAAGCATCATTTATATTTATTTACTGCTATCTTTCATTCGTTTTACGTGGTACTTAGATACCTAATAAATATAAATGGTCTATCTTTGACGTGTTACAAAACTTACTTCTAACCGACACACGTTTTTAAAGTGCGTTGAATTGCAAATTGTGTTTTATTACTTCCGATATTGCTCGTAAATTTGGTATATTACGTTAGCGACACGATCGACTGCCCAAAGCACTTCAATTCAAGATGATGCTAGTTCTTCAGGTTCTATTGAACCAACCGTATTACACAGCTTCACGTCATTCTGTCAAACACGATGATAGTGATCATTGCACTATTGAGACATCTAGATAGGGAGTAGACAATGGGCGAAAATTGCCTTCAATTCGCATTTTCCGGCTTTCAAAAGTAGGTTGCTACACTCGGCCCGCACTGGACGTAATGGAGAGCCGTTAGTTCATTGGGGTTATTGAATAATTCCCGTGTGTCGGACGCGTAGAGTACTGGCCACCGCCAGCGAGCGACGTCGCATCGAACGACTCAATGATACTCGGTATTAATTGTGTGCCCATTGTATCGTATTTAAATATTGATCAAAATTTTCTTTAATATGAAGAGTAGTATTGGTTTACAGCACCCATTAATTTCTTCTGCTATATCTATATCTTGTAATGTCTTTCAGATAATCCGTCGTATTTCGCGTTGCCGAACAAGGATGTTACTGACAGCGCGGAGTCTCAAGGCTCTTCCGAGCCGTGTTCCCGGTCAGCTCCCGGTCGCGTCTGGCCGGATGCTGGCCGACCATTCAGCTCTCCGCGCCGCAGGGAGCCGGAGAGTCCCCGCCGAAAAGAATTCAGAGCTTTATTAAGATCCTTATCCGCGCGAGAACCAGAACAAGCCGAGGCGTTCTTGAAGGGACAACCGAGACCAGGGGACTGTGCTCCTGGAGACATGAGACACACGTTTACCGCTCCGCGTATCAAGTAAGTAAAATTATAAATATTCCAAACCTGTATGTGGTATTTACGACAATTATTTAATTTTATGACATCGTTCCTTTGTTTGTCGCACAGGAAGGGCAAAATAAGCACCACGGTCGTGACAAACGATGGTCCACAGGAGCGCGAAGAAGTATTCTACACAATTCCCCTTCAGGGTAGGAGAAGACACTCGGTTGGAGGATACCTGGCCACTGGCGCTGCAGGAGCTGGAGAGGTGACCGCAGTACCAAGCGAAGTGCCAAGGATGCCACCACCAAGATTCAACCAAAAAGAAGAAGACACCATCAAAAGAAGGAGACCAAAGAATTTCTCGTTTAAAGGTAAGTTTAATATTGTTTGATTAAGAAATACAAATATACAAATGCTGTATTGATTATCTTCGATATCTATCTGCTAACCAAACATTACGACATAAACGTATCGGAAACATTCACATTATGATTTATCTACTCCAAGTGTGAATTATTTGTGGAACATATATTTACTTAGGTTGTTTACAATCTATCAAAACTCTAATAGATTTGACTGAAGATTATTCCAGACTGTTACACAAACCATTACTGAATAGTATTTGCTATCGTACTTATACGTATTTACTGTGTAATGATTTACACGTAAACTTTTAATTTGGTTTGTGTTTACTTTGCAATTAGTTAACAATCTTTACTTGATTGTTTAGTTCGCGTTAACTATGTAATTAGATATTGATTACATGAGGTGGTGAGGCTTAGATTTATATCTAACACCTAGCGACCAGGAAGTGAATTGATTACCATAACAAGCGCGTGCTCCATTGCCCATATCTTTCTTTGTCGCCATAACATAATATTATAAGTTAAAGACTAAAAGGAAGCCACTGCAGTAAAATCTATTCTCAGATAATAAAGATAGATACGTGGAAGTGAATAATAATGATAAACGGTCGTAAACAAGTCAATCGAAACCTAGAGCTGATACGGGAGAACGTTGCTCCCAAGACTCCCAAGTCGCCCTTCGACCCTTGTCGATATTCACTGCAACACACAAATGCATCTTCCAAATGCCCATCAACCTCAGCGGCGTTTTTGATATCAGCCTATCATACTTGACCATTACTACAAACTATCGATAAAGAGCACGATGTTGTACCAACGTAATAAAAATCAATCCCTAAACAGGTTACGACAGATTTTATATAAAAGCTTCTTCCAATCTTCGATATTTTGCCGATATCAATTTTCAGGAATCGTAATCTCTCGTAAACGCGAACAGAATATAATAAAAACGTGTTTCGTGTTTGCCGTCTCGTATTTGGTCTTCGATAACGCTTGGGGAATATTTACATAAGAGCCCAAATTTGTTTTGCAAGATTAGGCGATTGGGCGTCAGGGATGGCGTTGCGACTTGCGATTATCGTAGTCGCGTCGAGCTTTTAGTATTCAAAGTGCGTGCGCGTGCGCCGCCGCCTGACGCCAGCGCGCGCAGTCGCCGGCCGCGCGCCACATGATCGCGAACCGACACTTCTTGCTGTCACAGCTCTGAGGGCTCTTGTATTAATTTCGTGCGCTTTCTAGTGCTCGCCTGCAGTTCAGTCAGTGCAATGACAAGCGTTTAACTTGAAACGGTCGGGAATAACGTCTTCTCACTCGCGTCGCTATGGAGGATAAAAGGAGCGAAACAATGGCTGACACAAGTGAGTTCTCTTTCAAAATTAAAATTTTTAAAATGCGTTTTCGAAAATTTTTTGTGTGTCAGTTGCGTTTAAATTAGGTACAGTGTTAAAGTTTTAAAACTTAGGTACCTATTATTTTTATATAATTGTCATAGTGTATTTATTAATTAAATGTATGTTGGTACTTTAGCTAATTTATACAAAACAATTACCTACGCCTCTTGGCTCGAGACGAAGACGCCGAAATTACTTCGCAAGCAATTAAGCGGATAACTTAACAATTCATAAGCTTCTCGACTAATATAATAGAGATAAGACAAAACATTACATATTAATTATTTGATAATTGTAGCTTAAGTGAAAGAATTAATTAAATCTGTAACTGAAATATATGTAGCATTAACACTAAAAATAGATATTAATAATATTTTAGCGCATTTTCCTTAATTTCGCCGGGGAGCTACGAGAGCTTTATGTTTCATTTCCACGGTCCTTAATAAATTTTATGTCCCCGTACTTTCGCAGCGACGACGTGCGACATTGCTAATATGTCACTAGGTGACTTTATTATATTCGGGAGATTGCCTTTTGTTGTTATTTGTGAATTATTATAGGATTAGGTATTATTAGGTGCACACACAGTGAGTGGCCCACACAATGCCTCTATAATACTTGTGCGTAGTGACCAACATAGCTCCCTTAATGCGATAGATAATAAGCCATTGTCTTCGCTAAAGACGTCTTCAGCGGCCTTCGCTACACTGAACTCAACAACGTCACACTTTGTAATTCGAAAATGTCCAGCTCCATCCAAAATCAATGTCAAAGAAACACCGTACAACATCACCATATTAGACACAGCGTTGCTATGCTTATGTTCATGCAATAATGAGCTTTAAGCGCTGGGAATTAGGAGGGGGCCCGGTGGCTAGGTTGGCAACGAAGTTGGTTGCGGCGAGCGCATTAAATATGCAGGGTGGCATGTATGGCTGAATAAACATAGTGTAATTTACATGCATCGAAGCAACTCCCGTAATGTACTCGCATTGGGAATGTAAATGCGTAAACGTCTTGTATAAGTTGTCTATATTGTCGGCAGGATCGCTCCCACAGACTATGTTAACTGATGTAGGTAGGCACAGGCCGGACAATTTGCCTAGTGACAAAAGGCGGGGAATGTTGGTCTGTTGTTTGTGCTGAAACAAACCATGTGAAGCATTGTTGGATTTTATTTACTGTTCGATGTTCAAGTAACAATGTTGATTTTTTAATGACAATATTTGAACTAAGATACAAAGGTATAATTCTGATATGTAAAACAAATTGATCAACAGACATGTAGTTAAACAGATACCCTACTACGAGTATCAGTAGTGTCTGACATACATACAAACATACAGATAGAACATCATATATCTTCTTTTGTCTCCCGAGCTTTTGTCATGTTATCAGACGGAGCATTGAATTATAACTTTGTTTGTGACGTCTATCGACGTCGTATCGTGATAAGTACAAGACGGGACGTTATCACCGCCGACCGCATACAAGGCTATTATTAGTCAATACGTGGAAACTGACCGATTACATAAATATTCCCAGCAATACATCACAACTTAATAATATTAGACCAATTGAGCTGCGATACAAATTAACAATGCTGCATTCAACCCAACTAAAAAAACTCAAAGTACTTTTTATGAAGCCCAAAGGGAAGTCCTATTTATCCAATTTTTTAATGAGTCAGTTAGCGGAATTTGTTATTCAAGCCAACATGTGTATATGCAGTGCTCGGTAGTCTTCACTTTGCTTAATGATAGTGACGGTGACTCAACAACAAATTAATAATATAAAATGGGTCTTATAATTAAACCAGAAAGTATGATTTAGCGTCGAAGAACTGACAGGAGCCAGAGAAAAAGAACATTTATTTTGATTTGATGAATCACATGGCGCGTCGGGCGCTCGCCGCCGCGCATACACCATTTCTTAGCGAACATGTTTTATATTAACCCCTTTTTTGGCAAACAATAATATCCTCTAAAAACTAGGTTAGATTAACATGGTATTAATAAGCAAAAACTAAACTGAGATTGATTCATCTTCTGTTATGAATGAGCAAAAATTTTACCTTCAGCGTTACTCACGTATTTTCAGTGAACCGCATATGCTGAGTACCTAACCAACTACAAATGAACAATGTTCACGGAGCATATCTTATTTAGTGCCTAATTCCCTAAATGTGATCTCATTTTAAATGACTTTGCTGGAAATCTACGATGCGTTTCCTTGTATTTCTTAGAAGTTTGTTATAACGAATAGGCAACGTCGTGTCGCCCACGTCGACTCGCCTAGTCCCACTGAGGAATATGTCGAATGTACGAGGGCAGATGCTTCAATATTGTCATCGCATTATGTCTCATAATTATTTTCGTAACAAGACGAGTACATTGAAAGGCAACTAATCTCATAAGGATATTATCGTCGGTCAGTAATTACATTTCGGGTCCCAAATCTCGTCCCTTTTGCCAAACAGAAATCAGAGCAATAGCTTTCTGGCTTAAGTAAAGAAAATACAAATACAAAGCTACCTTACATGTTAGGAGGCGTTTATAGGGCTACCTACGATATTTTACCGGCACATCAAAGACATCCGCGCCGGCCATTGAACTGAAAACTGAAAGCGGTGGAGCTGTAAGCCCAGCCCCGACTCTTTGGCCCAAATGATACTTAGGTACCTGCTCTGTTCCACTTTAAAAAATCTTGCGTAACGTCCTTATTGTGGTGGTAAAAATAGGGTTTGAAGTGTAGCTTGACCGAAGAGACGCTGTGAAGGATTTGGTTCGTGATCTACTGGTACTTATATGAAATCTATGGCATTTTTAATTGAAAGTTGAGCTGTTTAAAAATCTTTTTTTTTGCTTTATTATTATCGTTTTTTTATACAAATGCTTATGCTTAGCGTTTGATTATTTGTATCCAAAGTTACAACTTTGCAAAAATATTTAAATTAATGCAAACTTCATTACAATAATCAGCTCATAATTACAGTAATTAGATAAAACTTTAACGACAAAACTATAACTTTATTTGTTGATGAATTAAGCAAACAGTTATCTAAGAATAGCAATCTAATATAAAATCTTTGAAGAAGTCACATCCGTTCTAGTTGAGCAGAAAATAGTCGCATAGCAACACATAACTGCATATCGGGCGTCCTAATCAGCCCTCCAGTTCTGTTACCCGCTGCATTTAATCGGCTATAGTTATTCCGGGCGACGCTGATAGACGTTTGTCTATTTAGGAAACGGATATTACATTTAGTCGGGTCTTCATTTGGCGGCAGAGGTGGGTAAGTATAAACCCGTACGAGTTTCCGGCGCGCGCGCAGTGCATAGCATATTTTGTAAGCAGCCGATGCGTATGCGAGCCACCGGCTGCAATAAAAATTTTAACAGCGACCGTATGCTTTCATTCATACGCTAGGAAATGCATATATATGTTTTTAGGACAGCGTTGAAGCTTTTAACGCCCTTACACCTAACCGACAATTACGTATTGTGTAATGAAAGTGAAAGATATTATTTCCAAGAACCAACGCAATGTTTTGATTCCAAAAATAAAAACGCACTTAAAACATTACTAAGGAATTCCAAGCAGTGACTATGATCACTTGACTTTCATGATATTTCTGTTCTACATAATCGAAATTTTAATGCGTTGCATTCATTAATCAAAAACGTTCGATTGACTTCAAGTGTCTTTGCAGTTAACGTAAGGATGCACTTAACACTAATTAAAAGTGGATCATTAAATATACAATTGGCATCTTTGAATCTTCATATAACATCAGAGATGCTGTTGTACGATCATGACTAACATTTATTGCTCACGTCATTAAAAATAATGTATGGAAATGATTATAAGTTTGTTAACAAGAATCAAATTTAGCAACATAAAGAGAGTTACAAGAAAGGTTTATGGAGCGTCCGAGCGCGATCCATGAACTTCGATCCAGCCAATGACCCCCAGCCGATATCAAGTGAACGACATCGTTCATGCCTTGATTATCCCTTGACAACACTTCCTTTCAATATTACGTATATTTGAGCTCGCTACACACTTATTGATGTCAGCGACAACTGACGCTTCTTATTCTGAATACGTTATTATGATGAATATGTTCACATATTCGCGCAGTCGGGCTTATCGTATTTGGGATAATTATGATTTACATAAGTAGACATTTCGAGGAAACGGAGCGTTATCTTCGAACAATTCCGAGTTCGACAATTGAAGCACTCAGTTGAAACTTGACGTTATTCGGGTTGAATGAATTATTTAAAAAGGCTGACATTTATGCCAACTGTCCAACCGTAAGGAAAGCTTAGATTAAAAAAGGTACAGACTTAAGCTTCGCTGCATTTTTATCACATTTGTAAAGTCTTTTTTTTTTGTTTTAGAAATGGAAGACATCTCAATATTGTGGAGCTCTGGATCCCCCGAGAGCGCGCTGTGGTCAGACTACTTGGTCGCAAGCTTCGATAAGATTATGTCGCAACGAGCTAGACATCATTACAGGTAAATACTGACTGATGTCATTTGTCTGATAAAAGTAACCCTGGGAATGCTCTTCACTTATCGGATTAATAACCTTTATTTACCACTCTACTATCTTAATATCTACATCCTGTTTAAAAAGAATTGTTTTATTTTCTCTTAGGGTAACATCCATAACTGCGGAGGAGTTGCTTGCTGCGGACGCTCAAGAGAAAATAGAGAAGCTAACTAAGGCACAGTTACAAATAGTGATCCTGTGCCCAATACTGGCTACCAAGTTGGCAGATTTGAAAAGAGATGTCAACGGTGACAGTCTATTCAAAGCAGATAAGGTGTTGGTGATGTTGCTTGGTGTCGAGAAGAATTCTATCATTGCCAGTAATTGTGAAGGTAATCTTTTAATTCCTTATTTTACACAGTTTTTTAACAATATTGCAAAAATGCAAACGTATCTACTTAACGTACTAACTTATATCTAATGTACGTAATTTCAAATTCAGGTTAAAATTTGTAACAATTGTAGTAAATCGTTTCCAAAATTTATAGTTTGTTTTTTGCTTAGATTATCCGACTATCGACCACTGGCAAATGATGTCGGTACGAGAAAAAGACACGTCTTTCGTGGACACATTCCTAACAGCCGCAGTCGGGATCCTACGCACCAAAGACTGCAAAGACACTGCCACAGATAAAACTAGTTTTTCCATCGTCCCGAAGAAGGTTAAAATTGTAAGTATCTACTACTTTTAATGTATCACAAGCAAAGTTAAATATTTACATCTGTTTATGATAACTAAACGCAGGATGGCATACTACATGCCACAAATTCTTCCGATTCAATTTAAAAGTTTATGAGGTAATCCCGACGCCATTACCGACAAATAAGACCGTTAGATACAAATGTTTGTGTTAACTACACACGAAATTAGACCTTGTAGTGAAAGCTATAAATGACAATATAGAAAAAAAGTTTCGTGTACAAAGTGAACGTTTGGATTAACAAAATAAATTCACTACGTGAGTTAATTGATGTCGTTTGCACGCAGGGACAAAGTCGAGTGATAGCGCTCCTCAACGACCCCATTAGAGACGAAGATAGCATAAAGATAATGGTCGACAAGAAAGGCGAGGTCATCAACATACCCAGCTTCAAAAAGAGGAACCCCTACACGCTTCAGTTTGATATTCCAGGTAACTTTATATAAGTACTTTTATTTGATAACCGCACATTTTTCCCCATAATGGAACCAACGGAGTTGGTACACAGATTTTATCATCTATACATTGCCTTGTTCAAATTCAAAATACGTTTATAAATAAATACTCATGAGATATTAGTATCTAAGACTAAAATTGTTCTATATTTTTATAGAGTCCTGCTTAGAAGTGTCTATGCTCGTATGGGTGCGTGTGAGCAAAAACGGTCAGTCGCTAGGACGAAGACAAATAAAATGCGAAAGCAGACTTCGGGAACTAGATCAACTGTTGAGAGCATCTGACCACCCCCTGGAATTCATGTGCCAAGTGAGTTAACATTCAGTAACAAAATTCTCAAACATTAATATACAATTTCAAACAAAATACGTATATTGCCTGGGTTATTTTCAATTTCTACTAAATTGTCATTTTTCTTCCTCAGACCCTGGGATTCAAAACAACAAGTAAAGAACAATTGGACAGTTGGATGCTAAACGCTTTCCAAAAGAACATACCCCCTCACTTCAACCTCCTAGCATCCACTGAACAGTTTAACCCGAAAGCTGACATGTCCAGTAAGTATCTTATTACAACTAGGATCTATACTAGGATTTATTTATTGTTTCGATATTTCATTGTCTTATGTTTTTTAAGGTGGAGAAGAATATCCTACGTTACTGCATTGGGCGGCCCGGTTTGGTCTGGAGCGTCTATGCTGGCAGTTACTGGAATGTCCCGGCGGTGGCGCTGCGGTCGCATTGCGCAACGTACGCCAGCGCACACCTGCAGACCTCGCCCGGGACCACAAACACTATGCACTTGCCGACGTACTCGCCGACCACCTTGTAAGTATATCGACACCTAAACTTCATTCTATTTATAACAAAGTACAGTAAGCGTCAATAACATTATCCCTTGTATTCCAGAAAATAAATGAATTCTCCAACATGTACTACTATTTGAAAAACATGTCGGACAACGACAAAGAAGAGAGCCAGGACGAAGCTAAACAAGACGAGCTACGAATTGTCGAAACATGTGACACCGTTGACTCCCCAGTACGGGAACAACATAGAAACAGCGCAGATGCCACCGATCCATTCAGCGAAGCATGCACACAGAACTTAGAGAAAAATATCGAAAAGTCAGACGAATTCGACAAAAAGCAACGGCCGAATCTGAAGCTTCCGAAAATTAAGGAACAGTTCTACCAAAACGAATTCCCCATCCATGACAACACTGTGGACAGAATCCAACAAGCCCTCGAACACGATTACTTAGTTCAACCTTCCAACATTAAAGTAGAAAGCCCTAAGTTTAGACCAAATAACTTGTACGCGAATAGTTCACGGCTGATGCCGCAACAGTCCGACATATTTCTGTACTCGCCCACCGAAGAATCAAAGACTTTTAACATTGACACTCCTACTAGTGATATAAGCCAAATAAATCTAAATACCAAAGATGTTCGCAGCAGCGGTAGTGTTAAATCAGGGAAGGAAAGTTGTCCCTTGACAGGTCAAGAGGAGTTAGCAGAAATAATAAATGACTTCAAAAATAATGTTTTTACGATATCTGAAGTAGAGAAATTGGTGATGGAATGGAAGAACAGGAACGAGACGCAACAGTCCCTTAAAGAGAAGCAGGAACAGTTGAACAAGATGAGAGAAGAATACGATAGGATTCAACTGAAAATAAAAGACAACATGAAAAGGCCAACGCCGTTCGAGAGGGTTAAGAAAATGTTTTCTAAGAGCAAAAATAAACGTAAGTTTTGTACTAGAAATACCTGCTATGGCCAAAAAGTAATATCTTATTTTTGTACTGTACCTATACTAACATTCTGTTTTAAATTTCCAGACCACCAACATGAAAACAACAATGGTACTATTGAAAAACGAAATGGAAATACTCGACCAAATAGCAGTCTGAGTGAAAGTAAGTTTAACATAATATTGAAGTTTAAACTAAATTGAATCTGAAACACACAGATTAATTTCTTCTTTATACCTTATATAAAATAGATCGAATATTTATATTATTATTTTTAACAGGTTCATCATCATCCGGGCGCCTAAGTACTGTCAGCGGAGGTAGCGTGGCGGAGACCAACAGCGTCCAATCCGAGATTGATGACAAAGCTCGGTCTATTGTAAGTATTAGTAATATTACTAACATTAAATTTGAAGAGCAGGCGGATTACGTTTAGCAGTCAGCGCCGCCCATGAAGACCCGAACACCATAGACCATAGACTACCTATGGTGTTACGAGTCCGTTGCAGTCCTTTTGGGGATAAGTTTTGTGATGTCCGTCTATAGACATTCTAGACTTGTATGGATACTTTGTCACCGAAAGACATGGATGGAGACAAACAATCTTTGCGGTGCCTATACAAATATAATAGGATATTGAAAACAATTCACCCTGATCTTGCAATCGCTATTTTCGACAAGGTCATACAACAAGATGACGTTCAACACACGTTGAACAAGGCTCCAGGGACCTCGGCAATGACTCCTAAGTTTAACAAATTAATTGTTAAAAACCTTAATCTTTGCGACGTATTATATTTTGGAATTGTCTGTTTTCATAGATATCATCCAGCACATTAACGATGCACTCGGCGTGTGACGGTGAGAACAGAATGGACGACTACTTAATCCCACCGCCTCCACGTCCGCTGAATGGATGTCCGCAGTTCACTACGTTTGGACACCCTAAACATGATAACAGGTAATTAATTATTATTGATGATATTAATTTATTTACAAAAATACCTTTAAAATGTTTATCTTATCTACCATGTTCGGCTGTCGGCTATAGACGACAAACGAAAAATCGGCTATTTCGAGCATGTCAATGTCAAGCATAGCCGACCATGGTTGGAAAAAGTTAATACAGTTATCCCGTAGCTTAAAGGAAAGGAGCTTCCATGCCAAATTGATGTTAATAATTCCTATTGATTAATATGAAGAGTTCATCCACCCTCAATTAATGTAAATCCTACTAACCCAATTTCATTGTTACAGAAATCAGCACATGGCGACGATAGTCGAGCGTGAAACGTCAGCGTCCCGTGAGACTCTCGACTGCGACGCAGACACGCGCAATGGCACGCACTTGCGACTAAACTTCGGATCGCGCGACCGGTCGCTACCGACAAGTCGCTGCGACGACCGTGACGGCGCCCACATGTACATGAACATATCTGCCACTCACACGTAATAATTATATTTAGCTTTATTCCAACAAATGATGACAATCGTGTATTTTTTAGAAAAACATTCATGTAAAGTGTGGGTCACTCGGTGAGATTATAAAATGTTGACATTCTGAAATAGAATTCACTATTTCTCGTGGGCGTTGCGTTAATCTACATTTTGGATTCAGAGACCGTGCCAAATAATGTAAAGGTTTTCTAGAACCACCTCTAATGTTATATTACATAGCAACTAGAAAATCTGAAACTAACTAAAGGATTATGTACCATCATTTGAATAGTTTGATTTTCCATTAAAATGTATGAAGACTGATAAGATGCATGTAAATATTGTATATATTTTTTAATCATTTAAACGTAATATTTATATTTATTGTCGTTGTCGAATAAAAGTAGATACGTAATATTTTAAATAGTACAAAACATATTCATTGTTTAGTTAATTTAGGCAAAATTAAGTTATCATTATTACTAAGCATTTACATAAAGTACATTTAGAAGAAAATACTAGCATATGAAAATATTGACATCTTATTCAAGAGATCTGCTTTTGAGTTCATTTTTAGTAAATACTTTTGTATTATCGTCCAAGATGCATTTATTGTACCATGTATACTATGTATTGTGAAAATAAATTCAAAATGCTATGTTTTCTTTTCTTTACACCCTACCGGTAGCTAGCACTTTAGATTGTGCTAAAAATAGTAACCTCGACTTAAGAGGCGGGTCGAAACAGGAAGAGATCTTCCTGTTTCACATACCACTGCATTTGATCAATTTGAAGCCCCTGCATATGAAATTACCATTCATCAATTTATTGTAAAGAATGTTCTAGGGATATGAGATGGTGTACTTCTATTGGTTAGAAATTCAACGAGTGAAATGATGGTATAAAAAGTTTCCAACCAAGTAGGACGAAAGGGACTTTCAAAGCAAACACATTTCATTATTGTTAGTATTTTAATTTGGCACCTACTTTTTGCATACAATAAGTAAGCCACCAAATGACAAATACATTTTTTATTCCTTAGGTATTACATTAAAAGAATTGAAAATAAAATTATAATAATTTTAAAATAAACTTCATCTATTGTTTAATAAATACAAGCACGAAAAAGAATGCACAAAAATTTTGCTAATTAATAATAAAATTCGAACAACGGAACTAACTTAATACTTCAGTTTCATTGGTTTAACAATATTATGGAAGCAAAATGATTGCTTAACTAAAATAATCACATGGATACACGCATTCAAGTGCAGAACATATAATATGCATATTGCACAAAATTATGCAGACATAAATAATGTCACACTTGGCAACATTACTCTCAAACATTCATTTTGAGGAAAATAACAATTTATACTAACGAAAATAATCATACAATGTAGGATTTAAATGTGTATCCTTACATTTTGTTGTTAAAAAATAAGCAAAATATCACTAAGGCAAAATAAACTACAACAATTAAATATAAAATTCATTACTATTATAGATTAAGAAAGTACAAAATACTTATCGATAGTATTGCCTTCTGCCTCAATTAATAAATGCCAAAACTCGTTGGATCGTGGTTTCGAGAATAATTTCACTGTTTCGTCGTATTACTATCAATTTCTTTGTCTAAACATACCGTGCTCGGCACCTTAAAGGCAGTATAATAATTGCGAAGCAGTAACAATTCGACAATTTCATTGTTCGAAAGCAAATCGATTCACATAAATTTCCATAAGAATATAATTTAACAACTTAGGCGGTATTTTCTAGCCGATCTAACCGTATGAATTACGAAACGTCATAAATAAATTCATGTCGGTATACCAATAGTCCAAAGAGTTTTTTGTATGAATGACAGTTTCATTTGGAGTAACTATAAGTGCACATTGTCTTTGGCATGATGTGCTTGTCCGTTGACCATGGCTGGTGGGGGCGGCGGTCTAGTTACTATAGCTTGGTACATACTCCAAATGGATAAAGGTCGCATATAACCAACTGCTCTGTGGTTTCCGTTTGCATACAGAGCTTCTGGAGTTTCAAATGCAAGTCCCATGTCTGTTAAAGTCTTGTACAAGCCACCGGCCGTCACGAATGCTTCCTCATGCATACCTGGAATTAATTATTTTATAATAAATACATATGAATATTTAAGTAAGATTAACTGACAGGTCAGCTGAAGCCAAATCAAGAAAATCATTTCAATCAGACCACTATAGCACTTTTGATCGCCAAACACAATAATCACTAAATAATATAAACGTACGTCTATAAACCTAAGCAACAGATTTTCATGCAGTGTTTTTTAATGAATTGAGTGGTTGAAGATGAACGTTTATAAGTGTAATAACATTCATTAAATAGTGGAAGAATTTAGTATCGGCATTGCACCCTTCCGAAGCCGCGGCAGTTAAATATAAAACGTTTGAAAGTCACAATTCGTGCAACCATCGCCGGAAAACATTACTCTCAAACATTCATATTGAGGAAAAATAACAAATTTTACGCACGAAAATAATAATGTAACATACGATTTTCAAACACAATAATTAAATATAAAACGATTAACGTGATAATCCGTCGGTCAGTCCTCTAATGAAGCTATTTGCTAGTTCCAAAATGTATATTTCTATGAAAAAGAATTGGCAACAAGAAACTATGTTTACTCTTTTTCAGAATCAATGTCTTTATGACATTATCAAGTCAATTCCATTTCAAAACAATAGTGGAATACACTTGAGACAGACAGGTAGACACTCATATTATAAAAGAAAATTCCCTATGACGTCTATCATAATCCTGCGTGATAAGCTCCAAAATTACTAAACTGATTTCTATGTGGTTATCTTGATGGATATTGAATAGAAGTATGGTTGTTGGGGACGACTTATTGAGGTGCAAATGTTGCCATCTGAACGCTACGAAGTTAGTATATTTTCCACTTTACTAGTGAAAATTTGAAATATTACTTTACGTACTGTTTTGTTTTTTTTACAACTGAAAAATAACCTCAAGAACACTATATCTAGACAGTTCTCTGTGTTAATCAGTCACAATTGACAGCGCCTATGCACGAACATGATACGTTACGTACACCAACACTACCCAACTCAGCCATTTTGAAATGTTATGTATAAAGAACTAAGGTATAACCGCCAAACGGTCATTCGTACTGCTTCTTGTCACCTCTTAGTCTAAATGATAATAAAAACAATACGATGTATGACGTACATACAACGCTAAAGGTTTTAAACTGATTGAGGTCTATAGCACCTTTATCAAAGGCTTATACATGTGGTTTATAAAAGGGATCAGATAATTTCCTATTTACTTGATTAGATAATTTAATGTGGAAACACGGTTAATATTGTTAATGAAATATATTATTGAATCCGGTTTCGTTATCGTGTATTATCTTTTCAATTCAACTTTTGTTTAACACCCACACAGACTAACAGTCGAGGAAATTGCCGGTGCTATTGATTTTTCCTTAATAATTAAACAGATTTTATCAAAATGAGTAATCCCATGTTTATCATTTCGTTTCGTAATGTTCCAAAATTTCACTGGCAAAGTAGAAAATATATCTACAATCGTTGTAGCTTTCAGATGGATACATTTGGACCTACATTACTCAATAAATCGTCCCCAACAACCTTATCACGCAGGTTAATCGACGTCATGGGAATTTTCTTTTATAATATGGTGCGATTATAACGTACCTTCGTAGATCATAAGTGCAGCAAGTCCGAAGGTGACACCGGTCCACATTTCCTCGCTCTGTATGGCTTGCGTGTCGATATGGCCGCGCGGCCCCATTATCCAACCGTTCACAGCGCCCATCTTGCCTCCCTTGAACTTAAGCACGTTATTCTCGTATATTGTAGAAAGACTCTTGCGCACATTCTCTTCTGGGAACACTTGCTCGCTCCACCCAGACGATCGAAGGAACCTGTAAAAGATAAATATTATATTTAATTAACAAAGCTATAGTGGGACTGCATTTCTTCACATCTTAAGTTAGATTTTATAACTTACCACTGTCCAGCTAGCTGATCAGCCATCACTACTTGAGAATTTGAAGGTTTCAAGTCAAACTTGTAATACGCGCCATTCCAAAGTTTTTCTTCAAATGATTGCTTAGCTTGTTCTAGCAGAACACTAAATTCTTTTTCATCTTCTTCGTGTCCAAGAATACGTGCCATCACGCAAACTGCACTTAATGAAGCTACCCACAGCCCTCCACAGTATGCACTGGAAATAGGAGACAAAAGTTAATATATAAACTTTGTAACTTTCAATAAGCATTCAACAGTTGATACCAAGCATAAGCTCAGTGGATTTGAGTGAACAATAGCTGGCTTCTAAGTACTGATTTCCGAATAAAGTATTGGTGCAAAGCGTGTAGTGAGATTTATAATACAAGGGTACATCACCAGATCTGCCTTTCTGCGGTTTTGTAGGATCAAACACAGGATAAGACAATCAACGAATGAGTAGGGGAGGGAATAGCGTACCTGGGTCCGGTCATGATCCAGGCATCGAAGGTTTGGTCGGGGAAGCCGCCGTTCTCGATGAGTCCGTCGTGGTCGTGGTCCCAGCGGCGCGCGGCGCGCAGTAGGCCGACGACGGCGGGGTACATGTCGGCCAGGTAGCGGCGCGCCGGCCAGACGGCGGCGGCGGGCGCGGGCGCGGGCAGGCCGCCCTCGGCCGCGCCGCCGCCCGGCCCCGCCTCGGGCTCCGCGCTCCTGTACAACAGGTCGAGTATATCGCCCACGCCGTACGGCTTCTCTTCGTGCGCGACTGGTGTAGACTGCTCCGTGAGGTCGGGCGACTCGTCCGTCGTCCGATCCGAGTCCTCCGTCTGCCCCGTGGACCTCGAGTACAGGTCGTCCTCCGTGCCTTCCTTAACGTCGTCTATATACGCCATGTTGCGGTACCTTTCGTTCCCGAAGGGCGCGTTGTGTCCCCGCAGGAGTCGGTAGTCCCGGATCACTTGCAATATGAACTTGAGGTTCAGATCCTTCCAGTCGCTCACGTCGTGCACGTTGTACGCGTTTATATTAGCGAACGGTTCGTCCTCTGTAATAACAAGTGTATTACTAAAGCAGAACTTGACGATAGAAAGTTTTCTATGTATTCATATGCGTACAACTCACGAAATTAAGTTAATAAACTACAAATGAACTACTATGAAATTACACTAATTGTAAATCTCTATTGTTAAATAATGCAGTTTGTATAGATAATAACACTATTTTGTTCAGAATTGTTTAAATTCTACGAAATAGAAAAGGATCTAGAATATCAAGAGACTATGATTGACAGATACGCAATTTATAAAACACCCATAAAACATTTGATGACTTATCCTACACTAAACGAAACTGTAGGAAAGTAAGTAAAATCGGAATATTTACATTACAAATCCAGAGCTGCCACTGAGGATAATATATTCGTGCATTAGTTCTCTTCTATAGCTGAACTTAGTAAAAAACTTACCTGGGTCGCCAAGATCATGAGGAATGGATTCTTTGATTTTAAACTTGACCGATTTCCCATCATACAAGTTTGGTCTACATTTCTCAGTTTCTAATTCTATTG